TTGACAAAGGTCAAGTTGACGAAGGTCAAATGAAGCGAGGTCGAAATGGTTGAGTGAACCCATCGCATGGAAGGCGGATGAGTTACCACTGTTTTAACCAGCTCAACCAAATTGCCAATTTATGTTTGTTCAGGTGTCGTCTTCATTGATAGTCAGTCAGTTCATTTGGCCCGACAGCGACAAAGGAAGACAGATGACAATCTGTTAACTCCAATCGAAAGCCTCCCACCAAGACAGGACTTACATGTGGGTTACGGGCTGACTTGCCACGAACCTACCAGGCTCGGTTGTTAACATAATGCTTTTTGGGATTGGCATTGCGTTTTCATGAACAAAATATTTCTTTTTGTACCGCCTGTTGTTATGAAGACCTACGATTACAACAAATGCTCCATTTTTTTCCGTTTCCATAATTTATTTAATGAGGAAGTTACATTGACTGTATTTGAATGGATAAATACTCAAAATTCGGTGTGTTATTTCAGAGATCTGTACCGCTTAACCAAACACATTACATGTAGAGCAGAAACATTTATTCGCGTCTTCTTTTCAGTCTAGTCGCACAGTTTCAAGCGAGCTATTATGGACCATTACAGGCAGACAGAACGACTGTTTCGTTTCACACGACGGGCTGGTTCAACGCACAATAATCTAAATATTTGTTTGAAAATCATGCATATTTTTGTCTCTTAACTCCTCTAGTCTGCAACCACAAAACAAAAACCCGGACTGTTCCCGGAGAGCGAAGTTAAGTTGAGGGTCTGGCTTTGATAATGGGTAGTATGCTCGAAACGCAAATACACTTGACATGTCAAATGACTCGAACTTCCTGAATTTCCGTATTGCAAGTATGATCAGAATCTGGATAGTCTGTGGATCGTCAGCAGTTACGCAGTGAGCAAACGAATAAGAACTTCTTCAGGAAAAAGGGATATATCCTAATAGATTTGGGGCCTAATTGATAGAAGCGCCTTTGCACACCAGAACAGATGTTAGATATAGACTCAACGAATGATCTGCTGCGCACTAATCCTACTTCTCTCGATGCTTCGCTTCTCGATTTTGATGGAACACTGACTATGTATACTCACATGATATATGGACAGATTTAGGTTGTTATAAGAACAGAATCAACTGTGAGTTAATTGAACCGCACGTGCTCATTGCACTTGTACATACCTGGCCAACGTTCCATTACCACTCCATCTCAACCAATGCTTCATAGCATACTGGACCTAATGAAGCCCTTTTCTGTATTGTTTCATCACGCACTTCTGGTGGGTTAGCGAGCCTGTGTGCCTGTAAAGTACATCCCATTTATCATTCTATCAGCTCAGTGACAGCGCACCAAGAGTGGAAAATGACCCTATCCTCACTTGTCACAAAATACGAAACCTCAATTGCACCAGCCGACACCTTTAGTACTCTATAGTAGCAGGAAAACCGATCGATCAGACAGCATTGATCTGATAGTGATACGTAAGTCGATCGTATTTGTTAGGCCGAGATATCTCTTTCATTGAAACGCATCCCCAATTTCTTCTTAATTTGATCCTGAGTTTTGTACAAACTGGGCTAATGCACCACGTTTAGCCTCTCAAGCACTGCTCCCCAATGCTTGTTTGTGTGCGCGCCTGCTTGTGCCGCTATTTGTGTGCGTACGCGCGCGCTGATGACGTTTGCCGTGGTGAGTGTTTGCCTCGTGCATCACAGCCGCATATACGCACATATGCACCAGGAATGCACCTGACCTAAGAGCTGGCAAAAACCGCAAAACTCAAATTTGGTTAAACCTGACGCACGCAGAGACACACAGAGAGACCGAGTCCGGGTGTCGTATTACCATTTTCATGTACTTGGATACGGCAAACACAAACTGATACAAACAATGCACAAACACGCGAACTCACAAACCGGATGAATGCGCTAATTTGTGTGTGTGCACTCGCGAACACGCGTGCATTTTTGCACTAATTTGCAGTTTCTGTGTGTGTAGGTGTGATGTAAACTTCTCGTTCGAGTTCTACTCTCTATGGTTGTGATTAACACATACGTACACCACTCAATTTGGCTAGTTCCACCGGCTGCGGATTCGGCACAGCCACCAGGTGCTGACAGTGGCACCGGCAGTCTCTTCAACCAACACGTCTAGCCAACCCGTTAGTTGCCCCATTCGTGATCTTCCGCCTGACGGTGGACTTATCGCGTGTGCGTACCATAGTGCGTGCGTGTGCAGTCTCTAGCCTACACACACACGGATAAGGCAAGCAATGGAATTTGTGCCAATCAGTGCGTGCGCGCAAGCTTGCATATCTGAGTTAAATCTGCACAAAGGTGCGGTGATTTGTGCCCTCACGCACACACTCTCAGGCCGGTATCGATCGATGAGCTATTTATACATCACGTTGACTACACAGGCCTATATATATTTCACAATACGACCCGGATTCTGTCAGTCCCTCGGTTACCGATTCGTGATTTCCCTCGCGCGCCCGTCCAGTTCACAACGAAAATGACTTTGGAAGGTTCGAATTTAGAAAAAATGATGCAACTCTTCCTCGAGTTGGACACCAATCGGGACGACTGTGTGGACCGACAAGAATTGCTCAATGCATGCGAGCAACATAAACTACCCCAGGAAGATGTTCAGGTACGTGTTTCCACGTGGAATTCCGATGGTGTACATGTTGAACAGTAGCAACATATGACAAAATCAATCGTTGCAATTGCAACGGGGCATGAATCAGTGGGCAACACTGTTTACGATGATTTGGAAAATGTTTCGACAAGCATATATTTTTCAAACAATTGGATGGTTTCATCGTGTGCTTTGACTGCGATGACAGACGAGCATCGCCGTTCGTATGCGTGTCACTCATATCATACGACTTGAGATAATTGTGGAAATTAATCGAAATTCATCAATGTATCTAACTTTGCATAATTATCGAACAAACCATAAGGGCCTTTATTCTGGGTTGTATTCCACAATTCCGGTCAAAGAGAAACCGTGATCTACACCATTCTTAGGTCACCCATTGTATCAGCTTAACGTACTACATATACATACTGTATATTCATTTTCCAGAAATGGATGGAAATGTTTGATGCTGACGAGAACGGCAAAATTTCACTGGAGGAATTCTGTCGTGGACTTAACGTGAAAACCGCAGAAATGTAAGTCCCATCACCGGAGAGTAACTTGTGAACCATCAACTTTTCAATAAGCCCAATGAATACCTTATTTGTATCTGTGCTCCGTGTGGCTTATAGGTAAATCATTTCGTGAGATTACTCTCCAAATTAACTTTGATGACAGATGCTTGCAAATATAATTACATTCAACTTGATAAATCCAGAGGATAAAGGTAAATCGATTCAAGTTAAATATAGCTCCATTGCAGGTAATTCAGTTATAAAATCGAGTGTGATTCAAAAATTGAGCTGTTACAAACAATTAGTTCGCATTGTTTTCACGACCATATAATTAAAACAAACAGTTGCATTAGGCTTTCTACTTTTTTCGGAAAACGTAGGCAAGTAGTTTCGTTATATGAAACGGTTTAGAGCACAAATAAAAATCGCTCCCCATGTCTTTCCCTCTTCCCAATCAACCCTATCGCTACCAGGCGGGTTGAGAAAGTTGAGCGACAGGAAGCCAAAGCCGGACGTGGTCGTGCGATGCCCAGTGATGTGGAAGTAATTGCCTCAACTATGTCCCAGGAGAAGCGAGTAGAAATTGCGGAGAAATTCAAAGAATTCCTCGGTCACACAGGTGCCAAACCGGAAGAGATGAATGCGGTAGTGAAACAGTTGAAGGACTATCTGGATGAGAGACATGGTCGGGTTTGGCAAACAATTGTGCTCACCGGTTCATACTGGATGAAGTTCTCACACGAGCCGTTCCTGTCTCTACAATTTAAAGTGGGACCACACATCGTTCTGGTGTGGCGTACGCCTAGCAACTAGAGCAGAAAAACCGACGAGGATAGGGATGACGATGACGATCAAACGGAACCCAAAACATCTACGCGCATGGCTCAGTGTGGTTTGGCCTAAATACGAGTGTATTTTATTTCGCTTATGTTTTCCCAAAGGACTGACAGATAGAGTGTCTGTACAAGTGTGAGTCATATCCATCAATTTGTACGTCTCTTCAAATTTAATTCCGTTCCATTCCTTCTGAATCCTCATCGGCCTCCATACGTTACCCCGTCCCCTCCGCGCCCTTTCACTCTACCTCTTTCCCTCTCGACCAACATTCAGCTTACGTCAAACAACCCTATCACTTTTCATCTCGCCGGAGCATCTTACGTGGGTGTTCTATACATTAGGACCGCACATTTTGAGCCTGTTCGCTATCCCCAGTGCGACAATGCACAAGCAATTGTCACTGTTTTATTCAACACAAATGATTTTGTGTCCTTTGGTTTAGCTCAAATACACTTATCGAAGTAATGAACAATAATGTTAGAAACGGTCGCACTTACTTTTCTATCTATCGCACAGACTACGTGAAAGAACATAATGAACTTTGTAGATTCTCCGGACGAAAACTTACACCTTTTCCCGGTGACCACTGTCGATGAGAGAACAAGTTCATTATGTTGACGATGGTAACTCAGATAGCAATGGTGAGCACAGAATTGATCAATTTTGAGGTCATTACCCGTATGATGATGGACGGATTGCTAATTGTCACCTTAGCACTTAAACACGAAAATGTGCTTGAAATTCCACAGAGAAATTCTCCGGGTTGAGATAAATCTTGAAAACTGTTGTACTTTCTCGAAGATATACCATGGTTTACACAACCACGAGTAACTGTAATCTAGAGTGAGGGAATATGAATTAATTCCTTGTGGTGTTTTTTTATTAATATATCAGTGGCATTTGATATTTTAGATAATCGATCTGTGAAAAGGATGAGAAACAGACCTTGTTTGTACACCGGTACTAGTAGTGTTTCCGGATGTAAACAGCACTGCGCAATAATACGGATGGGTGTCAGCTCAATCAGAAACTAACCACATGATGGTGGTTGCGATTATGTGTAAGCAAACAAAGAAACTAATTAGCTTATTTTTTGATAAAACAAAGTTGATTTTTCCAAGGCAGGAGCTTTATTCTTTCCTTCACCTAACTGAATAAAGGTCACAAAGTGGTAACAAACATTATTCTTCATTTCTACTTCTTTTCGTTGAATACATATCATGATACAATTTTCTGGAAGGAGGAGAGCGATTATTCAAAGGGTTTCTACAAACAACACACTGAGGAAAGTCAGGTGGTGTTAGTGGGATTCGAACAAACGTCTATCAGGCCATCACCTAGTTGGAAAATAATCTACGTTTAAGAATCGTAAACAATTACACACTTGAAGCTAATAACGACCTGAACAACTGCATAACTTATTACAGAAGTAGGACTTCAAGGTTTTTATAATAATAATTGCAAAACCCCTGGTGTCTATAGATTTTATTGATCGATTAATTCGCTATGTGTACACGATACAAGGTTACTCGCTCCTAAAGACAATTGGTTCTTCCACAATGATCAACATCACTATGATAAGACATGATCCAGCTCACTGACAGTTACAAGGTTTTGAACAGTCCGGTTTGTTCGATGCAACGCATTATATCATTTAACCATTGAACAACCAGAACGTACTCCTCACTGTTCATGGCTATTCTAAATAACGGAGGACAGTGGAGTGTATCAAACCGTGGTCCGCATTTAACCGCACACATAAAGATCATTTGCCGAGCTTTCAGTAAAGGCTTCAAAGTGCGCTACAAGGATGTTTCATTTCCGTCGGGACTAATATTTTCTATCTTCTTGGACGTGCATTCCTTTGGGGTGGGATATAAAACTCACCCCGAGGGTACATCGCTAGCTCGAGTCGATGGTTACACGAATGAACTGACTGATATCCTGGTAATGCCGTGTGAATTCATCTGATGTCACGTTTATATTTGGATGGGACATGCAACTAACCGCGTGCATAAATCAGAGTTCCCAAGAGGAATCACTCACAAAACGGTTACTTTCCGTCATACAGATTTTACGTTTAAATTCTTAACGCGTTCAGTGAACCATTAATCCTTTTCATGCACGGCGTGATGTCACATGATCAGTTTCGTATGTGTCATCTGTTTACTCTCAGTTGGAAACACGAATTTTTTTCAAAAAATTTATTTGACTTCAATGAGTACTTCTGAATGTCAATTTATTTTCAGCGGTACACAAGATGTAAAAATTGTGGACTGAACAGATATCTAACTGATTGTGCAAGCTACAGTTTCTGAACAACACATAAGTAATTACCGATTCTATCATCCGGCAGAAAATTGTTCTTTTTCAATCGATGAGGTTTGATGAGTGCATAGCTTCATCCGGTTGCACAAGAAAGTCAGAAGAGCAAATCTTTTATTTTACAACATTGTTTTGCGCGTTTGTCTTACGATAATGCTTAACTCTGGGTATTTTCCGTAGACCGTCTTCATCAGAGTTTTGAAAGTTAGAATAGAAAACTGTTTGTTTGTGTGATCCAACAGGATTCCCTCGGCTCCTTGGGACTCCGTTCATCCAATTACATTTTCCGTCGTGCGACACTATTATCTCATTTACGGATACAAATGCGCCTTTTAAATAATGTACAACTGTCCTCAATCAATATCTTCTTTGTGGCTGGGTTTTCACCGAACTTTCAGTTCACTTTGGGGTTTCTTTCACCGAATCGCGGATTACGATGAGTAATAAAACGTTATTACTCTCATACTTGAGTCAGTGCTGTAGCATGAACATAGCAACGAAACCTAGCAGGGACAGGAAAGCCGAAACGACAAATCCTCAATTCTTCCATCACATTTCTATCTATGTGGACGTCATTGAACGAGTAAGGTGGGACAATAAATTTAGAGGTTGGACACACACGTTTGGGCAATGGCCGTCACGCGCTCATACTAGAAGGGCAGGTGTTACGTTAATCGTTCAATTATCTTCTTTCTTGTGTGATGTTTTTCAAACCGGCTCTTGTGAGAGAGAATTTTTACATTGATTATTCTAAGTCATTATCTTGAGATTATAAGAACCTCAGCACGAAAACGTGATTATAACGGTGGAGTTAGATTTCCAACTGAATGAGGTTGCCAAGTGTCGTAAATGGTACAGCTTATACATCCATCCAAAATCTTGATTAACTTCGTTTGCTTACATGCTGTTTCCTGACCTTTATATCGTTATCGGCATTTTATTAGTTTCGTTCACTGCTCCATCGTAGATGGATAAGACTGGAAGCCGATTAACCAAGAAGGAGTTCGCAGCACGAAAGTAAAACATCATCGGTTATATAAACCGAACTGCGCCGAACAATAAATAAAATAATTAAATAAATAAATAAATAATTAGTTAAAGGGGCTTTATGCTGCGGATAACCAAACCCGTTATGAGAAAGAACTTTTTGTTTGCTAGAATTAGAACACCGGAAATTCACTAAAAACATTGCATTCTATTCTGTCTCTCACTGACTTCATTTTTTTGTCGACGAGCACATTTACCCAGACTACTTCATCCCATCCGCACTTTTGCCGATCATGCAAAATGACACCGTGTTTTTTCTCAAGATTCTTCTCGTGCTTTTTCGGTAACCAATGCACGCGATACAATTTCTGCTTGTTCTTTAGTCAGGTCAAACCTGAAAACGTACCGGTACGCAAATTCGTTTCGATTTCTGTATTTTGCTCCTGGTCTTCAGTTCAGCATCTATTCCCTTGATTTCTTATATTTCACAGCTCTATTTCACCTCCAGTTTCACTCTCCTGGACCTCGGTTTTTTAAATTGCATTGCGTACGTCCTTGAATATTTCCTACAAATTCCAACTACCACAGTTTTAGACACACTTCTTTAAGAGGCCCTAATTATCAACACCGCAGAATATTGCATTGGGTTCGCAGCCGCTTCTACTTCTTTGGGACTGTTGAACTTGTTTCAGCGTGAAACCCATCACCGTGTTACGGATTCATCTAAAACGTTCTATCTTCCACCAAATAACCATCTATTTGAGCTACTTTCTTCTCCGAACTTTGCACTTCATACTCACGGATTCATCGTGGCAAAGCTTACCGATTCGAACTTTCCTTCAGTGAAATATTTTAGCGGAATCCGTTAAAATGTTTTAAGCTATTCTTGCCAGGTGAATCCAAAACCATGCTTAGAATTCATGTTTAAATAATATTTTTTTCCAAAACTGCGCAGTTGTACAATGTTATTTCTCAATTTGCTGATTCTGTCCTCATGTGACCTTTCAAAATTCCAAAAGTCACGTTTCCGAGTAGACTTGGTGCTACCTTTACCAAGCTAAAATGTGAAAAATACTGTGAGATGTTAACATTTCTTTTAATCTCTTCAGTCGCTACAACGTAAAACAATCTGGTATTTATACAAGCAAGTTTTGATAACTACAGTGGTAAAACGGACAATAGTCAGGGAAGCGGAGGAGACGGTGGGGTGGGAAATCAGGTCCATGGCAGTCTGACTGATTGTGTGAGGAACTTTTGTGCACACAGGACTGGGTTACGTAACTTGATTGGCATCGATTCGCCAAACGCCAAAATCCTGGGATTCAAGTTACGTAATAACGGCTTGAACGACATTTGTGGGTCAACGATGTGTCCAGTTGCCATGACAAAAGACGAAAGACACGGGTTGATCTCGTCTGCAAAGTACCAAAGAAGAGCATCTTCGTCAGACTCGCCTTTAAAGGTGACCATATAATGAACGACGTGCGTCAAAACCTCAAGGTGGCACTGTGCCGAACGTTTCCTGCCGCACAGCTTCGATTGATACCATATACCCAAGGATTTCGTTTAGACAGTCGAAAACAGAACCAGGCGAACAGTTCTGCTTCACATATCGTCTACCAGTTCATCTGCAATTGCGGTGACACTTACATCGGCAAAACGAA